GTTCCGAGGTTTTGCATACACCATTATTTGCCTCTGTCCCACTTCAGCTTCACATTCATCCTATCGTATTTCATTTCATTGCAATGATTAAAAGCCCCTCAGTGCATCATCAAATAACCAAAGGATACACCCTACAGGCTTGCCCCTCTGGCTATCAGCAAACAGCTCCTCTCCGAGTCCCATGTCCCCAGCCACTCCACCTGGCCATGCCATCATAGTCCCCCCATTTTGGGTCTGGGAAGTTTCCTCAGAAACTTCCCCCCCCAAGGTATTCCAGTTAGTTATAGGCTGGATCCAGGCCCACATGTTTTCTGTTGTGATGTTTCTGGCTGTCCTCCTCCTCCCCACCACCAAGTGTCTATTTCACAATGGTAGGCAAGGGAGTCAAGGCATACTCTAAATGGATAAAAGGAGATACACAATGTTAAGATACTTGAGTCTCATGAATATTGGTTTTCCTTGCCTACTACTGTAAAATAGACACTTGAATGGGATAGAAAGGATTATCAGAAAACATGATTACAGAAAGCTTGTAAGCCTGTCTTCAGCCTATAATTGACTAAAATACCTAAAGGGGTTCTAGAACTTACTTAGGGAAATAGGTTTCTTGTGGAGCCTTTGTCGTGGATAGTACCTTAGATGTAATTCTGAGCCCGATCAAGAGCCTTCTGAGGTGGGACATACCCACTTGAAAGGGCAAGCAGAACATCCTGAAACAGCTAGAGGAACAGAAAATACTTCTTGAAAGAAAGACCAGCAAGAAAAATCCAAAACTAAATGGCAGTGTGACTGGCTACAAGAACAAGCAAGTTGTTCACTGGGAAGCCATCAAGACAAACAATCAAATCCCTTCAGGACAAACCCCCTCCAAGACTGAAATCAGAAAGGTACACATGAGCAGACAAGATTGCTGGTGACCACATTGTTCAACTGGTGAGTGGAAATGGGGGGAAGCCAGCAATGAAGACACAGGCTGAGTTCAACTACGTTCCATAGACCCCCATTGACCTGAAGATATGAGGGAGAAGAGGAAGGGCTGGTTGTCCAAAGTGTGGTGAGACCTGGGAACTCCTGAGCCCACGGACAAGGACATAGCCATGAAGGCCTAGAACTGAGAGTGAAATGTTCACTGATATGAATGGAAAGATGCACAAGAACACCCAGACTTGTAGATAGTTCTCATTTGATGTAACCTCGATGGCTTGATAACCACAACTCGACTAGAGGAAGATAAAAGCAATTTTTGATAAAGGAAACAAGTGTAAATTGCTACAATTTGAGGATCTTGACTTATGGGATGTAGTAGCTCAAACTACCAACTGAGAGGGAAGAAGTCTTCCCATGAAATATCAATCCTATCCCCTATGTGTACAGGGACGAGCAACTTAGACACTGGCTAGCTCCCGTAAAGATTTACAGCCTTGGAAGCCCTGTACAGGGTCGCTATGAGTCGGAACGGACGCTACAGCACATCACCACCTAAAATGGGGGTGTTGTAAAGGCACAAAGTGACTGGCTTACAAGTTTTCAAGAGGAAGTTTAGTTTCAGAGTGTGAGGGGGAAGGTAGAATCCCCACTGAATAGTTTTCATCTTGTCTAGATGGGTCTGGTGAAAGGAGATGGGGATAAGATTCAATAGTAATTGTTATCATGACTAACTGTGACTGCCACAAAAAGGGGGGAGTAGTTAATCTCACATTCCAGGAACAGAGGACCCTAGGGCCATCAAGGCAGAAGAGCACGAGTGGAATATGGGATCTTATCCAGAGAAGCAGCGACATTAGAGATGGAGACAAGAGAGGAGGACATGGAGAGAGACAGTAGCTGACGACTCTAGACTCATGGAAAGAGACGGGACTGTGTGCTCGTGGCTAGGAAGCAGGCTTGCAGAATGTGCCCTTTGACTGTTTCAATGATTATATATTCCTAAGTGTTTTTGTGTACATGCCCCGCCCCCAAAAAACCAACAAAAAAAAAGCATTGGGAATAGAAGCAAATACTAGGCATGATGATGCAAGGAGGAGATTGTAATCATTGCAATGAAACGATGAGTGTTAAAAGATGTTCTCCCATGTGAACTATTACTCAAGTCACAATAAAAACTTATGTCATATACAAAAGAATAATTAAACTTTGTCAAGTATCTTAAAAATCCTAAAAAAAACACCAAAAAAAGGGCTGATGAAACGAAATATAGACGGGTCTCTTGTGATGCAATGGTGAATAATTGTTATCAGGACTGATTGTGAGGGTTGGAAATCTAAAGATAGACATTTTGTAGCAAAGAGGGGAGTGATTAACTTATCAGCCTAGGAGTGGAGGACCCTGGGACCATCAATGGAGAAGAACGAAAAGCGGAATCCTACCCAGAGAGGCAGTGAAGCCTGGGATGGAGGCAGAGAAGACAACATCAAGAGATGGTGGGGCTGGGGGCTCGGGATCAGGAGATGGAAAGGGGCTGAGGACTGTGGTGGGAGGGGGGTGCAGGCTTACAGGGTACACCCCTTGGTTGGGTGAGGATGCATGGACAGGATGATAACTATGCCAATGAAATGATAGATGATGGAATGAATGTAAAGCTAATGTTCTCCCATGTAGACTATCAGACAATTCACAATAAAACATTGAAAAAAAACAAAAAAAAAAAAACAAACAGTTGGTTACAACCCACTTAGTGGTGTTTTAGAATAAAGGTCTGGAAATCTACAAAAAAATAAACCACATTCAGCAACTGTTTTTGGAAATAATCATTTATTTTACATACCTTAGGAGCTTTGTGTTAATGTAATCCCCACTTCAATTTTTGTCAGCATTAAACATTTACCAGTCTTCAAGTGTATATGATGACACTTTAGGTTTATTCCTTTTCTACATGATTTTTAGACTCTATTAACAAATGTAGATAAAACCAACTCAATAAAAACTTAAAAAGTGATGTGTTGGGTTTATTTTGCACTCCATGACTACAAAATAATACATTTATTTCTGTTAATGTTTGTAAATAAATTTATTACATTTTTGTATTAATATCTATTTACAAGATTTGTATAAATCCGATGTAATAATATGCGATTAGCACAATCCCAGTATTGAAACAGGTTATTTTATAAAGTTAGAAAAGTTATCTTATTATAGGTTAGAAAAGTGTGTAATTTATAAATATATACAGTCTCTAGCTTGTTCTGTTGTATTTGCTTTGGCTACATGTAGAAAACATTTCATTCCTATTGTTTGAGATTTCATCTGATGCATAGGTTTTCTAGTTGGTACCTTCGGACCTTTGCTTTACCCACCCAGTTATGAAGATGAAGACTATGATTACACTGTACTGACTTTACATCTACTTAGCCTATTATTTTTCCAAAGCTTGTGCCAAAAAAAAAAAAAAGGTGGCAGGGTAGAATACATGTTGTGTAAAATCTTTTTTTCCTTACGTAAAAAACCATCAACAATTTTCAAATGCAAAAAAAAAAAAAAAAAATCAGCATTTTCCCCATGCCATACAAAAACACTTAAAACTCCTGTGATGTCTTGAAATAAATGCACTGCCTACATCACTTTTTACCTTTGAAAACTAATTCTAAGAAGATATCTCATATCAGAAATATCTAACATGTTTAGTATCTGTGTGGTGGAGAAGGCATTTTCGTAGCTTCAAATGTTTCTGGTACACGAACCAGTGCCTTATGTCCTTGTCAGACAATTCATCTCCTGTGCTTTGACGTCTTCAGTTTCTCTCCAAGCTCACGAGTGATGTTATCATAGGCCCATGGCTCTCAAACCTGAGTGTGCATCAGAATCACCAGGAGGGCTTCATCACAATCATCAGAGGTCTGATGTAGGACCTGAGCATTTGCATCTCCAACAAGGACTCAGGAGATGTTGATGCTGCTGGTTTAGGAACCGTACATACTTTGAGAATCATTTTCCTAGTAATACTTGCTGGGGCACCATAAGATGATGTAGATGTTATACAATAGATTGTTCAGTAGGCACCAAGGACCCTGTTTCCATGGAGCTCCCAATTTCCAAAGGAAGGAAAAGAACAGCACGAATCATGTCATAATCCGTCAGCTCCACATTTCCCATAGAGTAGGCACACAGACTTATAAGATCTGAGTCTTTGGCCCTCTTAAAACTTTTTTTTTCCTCCTATGTCATTCCTTCTTACTAGAGCTCAGAGAAATGGTTAATCCTGAGAGAGGAAACCGAGGACTGAGTTTTGTTAGTCCTGGCAAAAATTTTAAGACATTCCTCGGCATTGGCTGATCAAGGATAACTAGGCCACTGCTTCCGAGAGGAAATGGTGCTTATTGGTACAAAGCTAACCTTGTTTCTAAAAAGTGATGGGCTGTCCCACAGAATTGAGGGAACAGAGGTGGATGTGTGTCTCTTCACGCCTCACCTTCCCCCAACAAAATGTCATTCTTACTTTCTCTCCAATCCCTGAGGGCAGTCTCAGCGGGAATAAACAACGAAAAACAAACCTCAAGGCTTTGGGGCTTTATCATAGTTTCTGGCTCATTTGCTCTTGGCAACATCATCACAATACTAAAAGGGAGACCCCATTCTTAACAATCAATTGTCCTAAACAACAGTGCTCTCAAATGCTCAGTTGATCACACTTTTTAAAAAAAATGTCAGGGCAGAGAGTAGGTAATTTTACTTTTATTTTAAGAAGGAAAAGGTTATAATAGTACCATGAAACAAGATGTCTGACCTCACAGCAGAATTAGGGCCCAAGCATGGGTTTGGGATTAGTGCAATAAATCCCAGGGCAGAATGGCTGTGGAGACAATGGCATGTGTGATGATGTCACCACACCTTCCTGGCCTGCCAGGTGCCTCAAGAGACACGTCTCAGTCCATAAAAGCAAAGATTTGATAGTGCCCCCCTCTACTTGTTTCATGCTGCAGTGAGATGTCAGAGTTTATTAGTGTGATTCATCACAGTTTACTTTTCCTCCCAAGTGGCTTTGGGAGAGCACACTCCAAAACTGGCTAGACCTTCTCCATCTCAATCTGCTGATGGTAGTGCCGAGCCGGCCGCTGGCCAACGTTCAGTTTGTACACAGAGCTCTTGTGTTGGCACTTGCGGTAACCCCACACTGCTCCCATGCCTGTCAGGAACAGCAGCAGGCACAGGACAGTGACAACGGTGGCGATTACTGGGCCTCTGCTGAAGCTGCGACACTCGTCCCCCACACATGGCTCCAAGGTTGGATGAAATTTCTCGCTTGCATCTGGGCCGGGGCCTTCCTGTTCCAAGAAGTCCTCAGACAGCAAGTATGGGAAGCTCTCCTGGGCCTCAGGAGCAGTGGTTTCCACTGGTGGCTGGGTGGCCACCATGGTAGTTGGGGGGATGTAGTTAGGCATCTGTGGGATAGTTGATGTTACTGTGTCCAGAGTAGAGCTGGTGAGTTCATAAGGTAGGGTGGCCAGGGGAGACTTTTCTGTGGCCATTCTCCAAGGTATAGTTAACTGGTTCCTGGTCACACCACTATCCACTCTGCTGGAGCCCTCAGTCTTAGCCACATTTGTGGGTTTAAGAGTTAAAACCTCCACATCTAGTTTTTGAGATGGAAGAACTGAACTATGGCTCATGGACATGTCCTCGTTTGGTGTAAGGGTGGTACTCCTGGGCTTTTTAACTTCCACAAGAATGGGCTGGTTGGGAGTAACCAGAACACTTTCATCTAACCCCACTGACCCATCTCCCTTGTCTCCTTCTTCCTCCTCTTCTGCCTCTATCTTCCTCCAAGCCCCATCAGTCACAGGGTAGCCATCTAACCAGGACTCGTCACTGCTGCTCACCATTGGGTCCCCTGCCCTGCTGCTGTTCCTCCCCACAAATGACCCTGAGAGGCCCTCAGTGCTGCTATAGATCACCTTGGTTTCAGATTCACCTGCACCCACTTTCACACCGCTGTAGTTGTCTCCCTCAGGGAACTGCTTTTTGGTGTCGTCTTCCATCTCCTTTTCCAACTCAGGCTTGTAGACAGTCTCAGAGGGTAACCAGAACAAGTACTTGTGGTTGAGCTGAGATCCTGGCAAATCTGTGGGGGCAATGCTTCCAGCACTGGGCAAGCCTGTGCTTGGAACAAAGACTTGATCATGGGCTTTGTTTTCTTTCCCCAGAGAAACGGTGAGAAGGCGGTCCTGCTTTGGAGCCTCCTCAGAGGCTTCTTCCTGATCCCTGTCCACCTCTGTCTCTGCTCGGGAATCCTCCATGAGCTCTCGGAATGACACAGATCTGTCATCAGGGAAATTGTCTTCATAGTCAATATGTGCCTCAGCCTTATCTGGAAGGAAAGAGGGGAAACCTCATCAGGTCCAAAGTCTGAGAGCCAGGGTCAATCAAAAGAAAGTGAAATGAAAACCATAAAGACTAGACCAGAAGAAATGAAACTGTCATCATTCACAGATGATATGATTGTGTGTTACAGATTAATGAACCCAAAGGAGCTACATGTAAACCATTACAATTAGTATGAGAGTTGATCAAGAACAATGGGTCTCAGGCTTACATAAAACATCAACTTCTATATAGTACTAGCAAGAAAAAGATATAAAAAAATTTAAAAGATGCCATTTATAGTAACAAAAACCCAAATCCCAGCCTTCAAGTTGATTCTGACTCATAGCAGCCCTTTAGAGGGTTACCAAGACTGTAAATACTTACAAGAGCAGACAGCCTCATCTCCCTCCCATAGAGTGGATTATGAGGTTTGAATCGCTGACCTTGAGGCTAGCAGTCTAACACTAATCCTACATTACCATAGCAAAACAAAACAAAATGCCTCGGAATATATTTAACAAAGGATGCACAAGACTTCCATATGCAAAGGTACAAAATATTGCTGAGTGGGATTAAAAACAACCTAAGTAAATAAAAAGGATCCCTGGTGGTAGAGTGGTTAGGTGGTCAGTTGCTAACCGAAAGGTGGGTGGTTTCACAGGACCAGCTGCTCCATGGGAGTAAGATGGGGCAATCTGATTCCGTAAAGATTATAGCCTGGAAGATGCTTTGGGACAGTCCTACTCTGACGTGTAGTATTGTTAGGAGTCTGAATTGACTTGACAACAAGTCTAAGTGGATGAAGAGATGTTTATGTAGTAGAAAAATCAAAATTGTTAAGTTGTCAAGTAATGTAATCCTAAATGAATTCCAGACATCGAAAAGCTGCTGATGCTAAAATTTATGAAATGCAAAAGGTCAAGAATAGACAAGGCAATCTTGAAGAAGGAAAAAGCTCAGGATGTACACTGTAAGATTTCAAGACTTACCATAAAATTGCAGTACTTTTTAAGATTATGGGATTGGCACAAGGATAGATAACTGAATTATAGTAAAGGTAAGAACTTGTGTTCCTCAAAAGCCTTCATGGACAGAGTTACGTTTTAAGTCACAGAGTTGGATGAAACATTAGCAACATGAATAACCTCCAAAGGGCAAGTATTCAGAATTTATAAAGAATTCTTAAAAATTAGTAATAAATAGGCAAACTGCAGGAAAGTGGCAAGATGCTTGAATCGGAACATCACAAAAATGGTATCTACAGGTATTAATAATAATAATAATGGTATCTATAGGAGTCCTGTGTGGCGCTGTAGGTTAATGCGCCAGACTGCAAAGCTGTTAGAACTGCAAGGTTGGTGGTTCAAGCTCACCAGCTGCTCCTTGGAAACCCTATACAGGGTTGCTATGGGTCGGAATTGACTCAACGGCACTTAACAACAACAATAGGTATTAGACAATATCTAAATATGCTCATTTTCATTAGTAACAGAGAAGTGTACAAATGTAACAAGATACGTCTACACAGCACCAGATGACTTAAACAGACTAATAATAACAAGTGTTGGCAAAGATGTGCCAACAAGTGTTGGCAAGGAGGTGGGAATGTGAATTTGAACAGCCACTGTGAAAAACTGTTTGGCTATTGTCTATTAAACTGGAACATATGCACACTCACTGGGACAGCAATTCCACTCCTAACTACATAATAGCAATCTGTCCACGTGGGAACCAAAGGACATGTGTAAGAATGTAATAGCCAAAAATGTTAACACTTAACAATACAAATGTTCATTAAGTGCACAACTATTTCACAGCCATAATGTTGAGTAAAAGAAGCCTTACATAAATGAAAAAAAAACAGGTAAAGCTAATATATAAGATGATGGTTATGCATGGGAAGGAGAGAAACTGTCATGAGAGAGTCGGGTTATAAGTAGGACTTTTTGGGGAGCTAGCTGTATTCTATTTCTTGATAAATTCGCTGGTCTATACCCATATTATTTACATCTGAGCTATAATGATATAAAATGCATTTGTAAAAAACACTGTTTCAGTACAACTCATTTCATTTCAAATGGCAGTGCAATAAGTTTATAAATAAATAGTGGTGATGGTTACATACATGATTAATGTGATCAATGTCATTGAAATGTACATGTAAAAATTGTTAAATTGGCAAATGTATCTTTTTATCATAAGAAAAACAAACAAAATCCTTGTATGATTGTTTACTCAGTCTCTCTTAGTTCAGTTAAATAGTTTTCAGTTAAGAAAGATAAATGAGATTACCCACAGGACTGGGTAGCTATCTGCTTACATCATTCCCTCTGGTAATAATACGATTGTTTCCTGCTTCTCATAGCCAACTTTCATTCCTCCGTTAAGACAGCCTGGATGTCACTCTCTCCTCTGGTCAGCATGCTCTGCCTCTTCCCAGGGTCCAGCAGAACACAGCATCCCAATCCAGTCTCTTCATCACATCTAGGGCATCTGCTCACAGGATGCCTCTGTTCCTAATACTGGGTTGTATTCATGTGTCTGAATCTTTCCCAACAGTCAAGAACCTTGTCTGAGACAACTGAACTCAGGCACATGAGAACTCTAAGCGTTGATAACCTTTGTGCTCCCTCTTCTGCTACTCTCACATTCTAACTGGATATGGAATTATACGGAGCTCTGGTAGTGTAGTGGTTACGAATTGGGCTGCGAACCGCAAGGTCAGCATTCAAAACTACCAGCTGCTCCGTGGGAGAAAGATGAGGCATTCTGCTCCCGTAAAGATTAACAGCCTCGGAAACCCTGTGCAGGGTCGCTATGAGTCGGAACAGACTCCACGGCATATAACAACAAATATATATATATATATAACTCATACATGTGTTTTAGCTATCCATGTAACTTCATTTCAAATGTGACTGTAATATTAGCAATTAATATTATAATGTATAACATTTTAAGTATTTGTTATTGTGAGGTGCCATGGAATCAGTTCCAACTCAGCAGCAACATGTACAACAAAACGAAACAATGTCCGTTCCTATGCCATCCTCACAATTGTTTTTATGCTTGAGCCCATTGCTGTTGCCATGGTTTCAATCTATCTCAGTGGATTGAAATCTTAGTACCACGCGTCCTCTTTTTCGCTGATCCTCCACTTTACCAAGCATAATGTCCTCCAGGGACTGGTAACTCCTGATAATATGTCCAAAGTTTGAGAGATGAAATCTTACCATCCTGGACTCCATGGAGCATTCTGGTTGTACCACTTCCACTGCAGTTTGTTGTTCTGGCAGTTCATGGTACATTCAATATTCTTCTTCAACACAATAATTCAAATGCATCAATTCTTCTATGGTCTTCCTTATTCACTGTCCAACTATCACATGAATATGAGGCAACTGAAAATATCCTGACTTGGGTCAGACACACCTCAGTCTGCAAACTGTTATCTTTGCTTTGAACACTTTAAAAAGGTCTTGTGCAGCAGATTTGCCTAGTGCAATATGTCATTTGATTTCCTGACTGCTGCTTCCACGAGTGTTGCCAGTGGATCCAAGCAAAATGAAGTCTTTGACAATTTCAATCTTTTCTCCATTTATCATGATGTTATTCATTGGTCCAGAGTCCTGGTGTGGCAATGAAGGATAAGCATTGGACTGGTAATCACAAGGTCAGTGGTTCAAACCCACAAGTTGCTCTTTGGAAACCCTATCTATGATCCCTATGAGTCAGAACTGACTTGACGGCACTTAACAACAATTTATTGATCCAGTTGTGAGGACTTTTGTTTTCTTTACATTGAGGTGCAATCCATACTAAAAGCTGTGGTCTTTGATATTTATCAGTAAGCTGTATCATCTGCATATTGCAGATTGTTAATAAATCTTCCTCCAATCCTGGTACCATGCTCTTCTCCATATATTACAGCTTCCTGGGTTATCTGCTTAGCATAAAAACTGAATTAAGTATGGTAGAAGGATACAGTCCTGGTACACACCTTCCCTAATTTTCAGTATCCCCTTGTTCTGTTCAAATGACTGCTTCTGGGTCTATATAGAGGTTCCCCCCATGAGCACAATTAAGTGATCTGGAATATTTATTCTTTACAATATTATCCATAGCTTGTCATGATACACATAGTCGAAAGCCTTTGTGAAGTCAATAATGTACAAGTCAACACCTTTCTGGAAGTCTCTGCTTTCAATGAAGATCTGTCTGATGTCAGAAATGATATTTCTAGTTCCATGTCCTCTTGTGAATCCAGCTTCAGTTTCTGACAGTCCCTTTTATTATACTGTTGCAGCCCTTTTTTGAATTATTCTCAGCAAAATTTTACTTGCATGTGATAATGATGTTGCTCAATGATATCTGCATTCCGGTGGGTCACCTCTCTTTGGAATGGGCACAAATATGGATCTCTTCCAATCAGTTGGCCAGGTAGCTATCTTCCAAATTTCCTGGCATAAGTGAATAAGTGCGCCTCCAAGGCTTTACTAGTTTGTTGAAAGACTTTAATTTGTATTCCATTAACTCCTGGAGCCTTTTCACCAATACCTTCAGTGCAGCTGAGACTTTTTCCTTCAGTACCATTGAATCTGGATCATATGCTACCTCTTAAAATAGCTGAACATCAACAATTTCTTTTTGTACAGTGACTCTATGTATTCCTTCCATCATCTTCTTTTTAAAGTTTTTATTGTGAATTGAGAAAAAGTTTACAGGGCAGATCTTAAGTTCTACATTCAACCAATTATACACTTTGTTTCATTACAATGATTATAATCCCCTCCATGTACCATCAGTTAAAAGTGTTTCTCTCTATTCATTTTAGCTGTTTTTTTTTTTTTTAAACACTCAGGCATATATAATTTAAACCACCAAAAGGCACATTCTGCAAGTCTGCCTCCTGGCTGCCAGCGCTCAGTCCCTCTCTTCCCATGACTCTAGAGTCCTGGGACTCTAGAGTCCCCATCTCCATCTCTGGTGTTGCTGCTTCTCTGG